ACCTGTGTTGTCTGATACATTTCATCTCTTTGTCATTGAAAATTGTAGTGAGTAAAACACCACTGTGGACAGGATGTATCCTATCAGGTATTTTTGAGAAGGCAAAAAAACAAAAAACAGAAAAACCATACCCCAAAACTATTGAAATTCCATGGTTTTCAAACTTGGCTGTACCTTAGGATCACCTGAAGAGTTTAAAGAAAATACTGATGCCCAGGCCCCACCCCAGACCCAGGTGACTATAAAGCACAGCCTGGGGAGAGGACCACCAGACTAGCTGACCCACCTCTTGTGACCCTTCCAAGTCTGGTTCTAAGGCCTAGGCGGTGAGATATGTTTTCTTATGTGTACGTGCCTATATCATAAATGAATGTTTTCAACTTATTTTCACATTTTTATTTTGGTTAACTTTGCCCAAGCTCTGATCCGTCCCCGGGGTCCATACTTTCTGACAAATGCAGTCATTCTTCAAGACATGGTTTCTTCTCCAGCTTTCACACAGAAGGCAATTTTCAGGACCAACCACTGAAAGAGAAAGAGGGGAAGGATCTTCTGTCTGTTGCTGAGCAACAACCTCACCACTGTGGGCTTCAGCTTGAGCGAGGGTTGTTTCCGAACAGAAAAAAGGTGAGTTTAAGAACTATATTTTGATTTTTTTTAAAATTTTACAGGGCTGCAATAACACTGAATTTACACAATGAACTACATAAGAATATTGTTAAAGGAAACAAAAGTTGGTTTTTTTTTACCTTTGTTGGATGTACTCTGTATTTGCTATCTATTGCTGAATAACAAATTACCCCCAAAACTGAGTGGCTTAAAACAACAATAACTTATTATCTTTCATGGTTTCTCTAGTCAGAAATTCAGACAGAGCCCAGCAAGAACCGCTTGTCTTTGTTCTGCAGTGTCTGGAGCCTCAGCTGGGAGAATCTAAGGCTGGGGACGGGAATCATCTGAAGGCTTGTTTCACTCATGTCAGGTGGTTGGTTGATGCTGGCTTGGGAACACCCATGTGTGACCTGGCCTTGTGGTCTGGGCCTTCTCACAACATGGTGGCTGAATTCAAAGGGTAAGTACTCTGAGAGCAAGGAAGCCAGATGGATTCCCCACTGCCTATATGACCTAACCAAGGAAGTCAAGCAGTGTTATCTCTTCCATTTCTACTCTTGGTCAAGGCCCATTCAGGCTCAAACGGAGGGAACACAGACCCCATCCCTTTTTTGAGGAATATCAATGTTCTAATGCAAGAAAAGCATATGGGATAGGACATCTTAGCCCAGCCATCTTTGGAAAATGCAATGTACCCCACATTGTTTGTCTTTTAATTTTATTACTCACTTTTTTTTTCCAGATTCCAAAAGTAACATGTGCTCCTTGTAAGAAAGAAGAATTGTAATAAAAATCCAGAATTTGTACACCAAAGTAAATTTCCTCTCCCACTCTACTTACTATATCGATCCCACTCCCTGGAGATAACCACTATGAACAGATTGATGTGCATTTTTCCATACAAGCTATATACATATATACACTACTTTAAAAAAATTATATACTTTATTTTGCGACTTACTTTTTTTTACTCATTATTATGTGATGAACAGAGTTCCATGTTAGTATATATAAAAATACCTAATTCTTTTTAATACTGGATGTCATAGTATAGCTATACCATAAACTTATTTAATCAGTCTTCTATTGATGGACATTTAGGTTTTTATAATTTTAAAAATCTATTATAAATTAATGATACAATGAATATCCTTATACTAGGTCATGTAGGATAGTATCTCAAAAATGGAATTGTTCTGTTCAATGGATATGCAGGATAATAGTTTTCAATGCAAGAGTGTTTCTTTTAAGGTTAGTATTCTTGTAAGATAAATCTACAATAAACAGGATACACTTTTTAAATTTGCAGATAGATAGTTTTCTCTAGTCTCAAAATGAAGAACAGAAACATTTGTTCTTAGATTTAGAAGGTGCTTATAAGCTTTGAAAGGAACTTCTCATTTAGAAAATGATGAGTGACAGGACATAGGTTATGAACAGAGGGGTAAATTTCCTTTTCTAATGTTTTTAGCTCGGGCTGATATGGAATTGAATGTGAATTTTTCAAAGTTCACACTGACACTTTGAGGGAGGCTTGACTGGTGATAGCAAAGAGGAAGCCAATTTGAGACTAAAAAACAAAGTATCATGTGTGACCCCCAAAGTGAATAATAAAGATGACTATTGGTCATATAAGTATGATATATGGATATATATTGGATTCCAATATGACTGCATAATTTAGCCCACTTTTCCATCCTTTGTTCACAGATGGCTAATCTGTAATTTATTCTAGGATTCTTTTCTCTTGCAGGGATGGGTTATTAAAAACTTCTTAGCTGAAAATGAAGTTCTGATACATGCTACAACATGGATGGACCTTGAGGACATTATGCTAAGTGAAATCAGACAGATACAAAAGGACAAATATTGTCTGATTTCACTTATTATGAAATATTTTGAAGAAGTAAATTCATAGAGACAGAATTAGATTAGAGGTTACCACGGGCTGTGAGTTAGAGGGGAAAGGGGAATTATTGCTTAGTGGGTGCAGAGTTTCTGTTTGGGGTGATGACAGGGTTTTGGAAATAGCAGTGATGGTTGCACAACATGGTGAATATAATTAATGCCGCTGAATTGTACACTTAAAAATGGTTAAAATGGCACATTTTATGTTATATATATTTATACACACACACACACACACACACAACACACAGAAAAAGAAAACCCACACAAAACCCTCTGCTGGAGCAGGAGAGGTTGAGGCTCTGTCAGTGTTCCCATGGCTTTGCCTTCCCTTTTGTTTTTAAAAGAACAACCTCTATTTTTAGGGATTTTCACACAAAGGCTCATGTGGGCGTGGGAAGTACTCCCAGCTGCCCTCCTATTTCTCAGAAGCTCACATGGAAGCCTAGCAAGTTATTTAAGGTTTAGGAAATATGCCAGATTGGACATGGGGATAATTTAATGTCTCTGTGTGTTAATTTAGTTTTTTTCCTGCTAACGGGGGTTCTGGAGACTTTGCTTCACCCCCAGTCCCCAGTGATGGCTGAAGGTGGTGAGGGCAATTTCTCCCCACGCCTCAGCATGCCTGAGGGCACTTTTCTTGGCAAAAGATTCCACTTCCTGCCAGCCTGAGTGTGACCTAGTGGGGTAGCCAGCTGCACTTTGGAATCCCTGCAGCACAGAACCTCAGTCTCCTATCCAGAGGCCCTGCACCTGCGGGACCAGCATGGGAGCAGCAGGCTTTCCCACTCCCAGCCTGTCTCACTCCCCTGTGCAGGGTTAGACTGCAGTTCCTTAGAGCTTCAGTGAATAGGATCCCGTCCAGTCTCCTAATCCCAGGCTGGGCACCTCAGCTGGTTGCATTGAACTAGTTGTTGAGGGCGGCAGTGGCCGTCAAGACAAGCCTGAGGGCCTGCAGACCCTTTCCCCTTTACCACCACTCCTCCCCAGCCTCCTCCCACCTGGGTCAGGAATCCGGTCCCCTTCTTCTGCGCCTGGGAGTGCTGTCTGGGAGCACGGAGCCCTTCAGGGCGGAGGTAAGTGTGCCCCTCGACCCTGGAGGAGGGGAAGGCTCTGCAACCCCCTCCCTCTCTACCTGAACTCAGACTCGTGGGTACAGGTGTGGCTGGGGTGCCCGAGTCTGGGAGGGACACGCCTCACCAGCGGGACAGCTGGGACTCGCACTGCAACACCTGGTCAGCCACGTGGCAATGGGGCGGGGACACGGCGGATGCAGCGCTAGGAACTTGCTGTCCTGCCAGCAGGTGAGCGCTGAGGGGGCTGGAGGTGGGCAGTGCACAGATTGGTCTCGGAGTGGCTCCCCTCCCCGGAGGAGCTCTGTCTTGTAGGAAGGGGGCCAGGCTTGGGTCTCCTTTGCCCACTGCTCAGGTAGACCACTCCCCACCCCTTCTGCCCAGTCACCTGGCGCGCAGGCACGGACTCGCAGACACGCGCACGCCTCCTCCCGGCCCAGAGTTCCAGAGAGCTTGGTACCGGAGCTGCAGCTGGAGGGGGAGTGGGCTGCGCCATACCAGGGTTCGCGTAAGTGGGAGTGCACTGGGGGTTGGGCTCTGGCTCCCAAGTGGATCTCCCTAAATTTCGGGATCTTTTCCAGGGGCCCCGAGGGCCTGAGAGGCGGAGGACATGAGAAGCCAAGCGCTTTATCTGCACGTGGGCAGCAGGGGAGAGCTGGGCAGAGAGTTGTGGGGCCTTTCTGGGGTCCCTCAGGTACTCTCCTGTCTCCATAGCCCACTAAGCCCCTAACTTCACCCTGAGCTAATAGTGCCCACCCCCCCCCCACCCCCAACTCCCACCTCTTTTGCTTTGAATACTGCTCATTGAGTTTTCCCCTTCCTCTCCTTCCCTGGAGACTGTCATGGGTCATGTTCTCTCCTGACCACAAGCTCTACCCCTACCCGCTTCTCTCATTCTCCCCTCCCTCCTCCTTCCAAAGTGTCAGTGCCCTGTCTACCTCCCAGCACTCTGCTGGCAGTGAGGGTCACACACAGCCTGGCACAAGGCCCTTGCCCCAAGGGAAGACTGGTGCTCTGATAGCCAAAAGCCCTGACAATGATGCTCAGTCATCCTTTTCTTACCACCCTCTCCACTCCCCTCCCTCATTCTGGCCCTGCGTGAGAAGGACCCCCAAGACAACCTCCTAACTACCCTTCTCCCACTCTGCTCATGGTCCAGTCTGCATTCCCTCCCCTCCTGCACCCAGCTCTAGTGAACGATGGTGCCCTTGCCCTGGACAAAGAGGTTCACAGGATGGGAGAGGAGTGGAAAACTGCGTCCTCAAGGGCTAGGCGGCTGGGCAGCTGGCTCTGACACCCTCTCCCCGCCCTGCCCTCCACCCCCCGATTGAAAGAGCTCAGGGAAGACAGAAAGAGCTGGGGGAGCTGTGGTTTTAGGACAGCACGATTTGAGCACAAGGAGCCTCTGAAAGATGAGTGGCATCTATCTGAGCACCAAAGAGTTATGGCGGTGAGTTTCCAGTTGAGATAGAAGAGGGTGCTTCCTCAGCCAGGGCCTGATACAGAGGAATGATGGGTGATCAGGAGAGGAGGAAGGAGGAGCCAATCTGACCAAGGATGGTATTTACCTTCCAGAGGGGTCTCCTCATCCAGACCACCAGGACCCCCATTTCCACGAAGATGGCCCAGATGTCTCAGGTGCAGGAACTCTTCCATGAGGCAGCCCAGCAGGTAGGCCTGGAGGGTGTTGGGGAGTCTGAGAGAGAACCGCGGAGGCCTGCGAGCAAGGGCTCAGTGGACAGGACGCTGAGTTACCGTACACTGTTTTAGAAGTGATTGTCTCAGAAGTTTATTTTGGTATTCCAGCTTAATCGAGAAGATATTGTAGCCAACACTTAACCATCTGTGTGCAGAGAATCTTCTTTGCTATTTGTCGTAGATTTTGAATCCTGGATACTCTCCCTTCCTTCCTCCCCGCCTTCTCCCCCCCCCCCAGGAGATTTTCCATGAATAGTCAGAGTGAGGCCTAAGATAATATGAACTCCTTTTCATATTAAATCAAACCAATGTAAGAAGGAAAATTTATTTCCCCAAAACTCATGTATACTGAAGCCAAGTGCATTTCTGGGTTCCCTGATGTCTGCAGGGTTTTCCTTATCTTCTTCCAGTTGATTATTAGTTATAGTAAATGTTCAATGTAGCTATGGAATTGAAGTGGCTCTTCCCAGAAATAGATAGTTAATCCCTTAAAAAATAAAAAAAAACGGACTTAGGTGTTTATCAGGAAACTGCTTGCTCCCAATGTCTTTGCCGGTTAATGATCACTCAGCTTTGACGTTTTCCCTGTCCTTTGGGTTTCTCTTGTGCTTTGTGGAGAGGGGCAGGCGGGTTGCCTGGCACTATAACGGGGATGAGCCCCCCAAGAGAGGAGAGAATCAACTCAAGGCCTCACACAATAGCAAGAGCACGGGCCGGAACCCGGGAGTCCTGAGCCAAGGATGACAAGGCAGTGAGGCAGATGGGGTTCACGGTTAGTGGGGGAATATAAACTGGCTAGTTACCCCCTCTTCATGTACATGGGTTCATGTGAAAAATGCAGCATGATGGTGGGCAGTGGTACGTGATCGGCAAAAGGTGCTGCTCTCCTCTGCCCGGCAGGCCCGGGACTGTATCCTGCTCCTCACTTCTCACCCTGGGAGTGTATTCAGGCTGCTTAGAAATGAGCGACTGGAGACTTGGAGAAGCTCCTCAAAAATATTTAAAAACTGTTGCCCAGAGCTTTTCACTCCTGAGTGAAAAGGCCTGTAGCCTCATTCTTAGTGAGGTTGAGGACCCTAGAGAGACCCTGATTTGTTAGGGGTCTTCCATTTTGTTTAGCCTGCTCAGTCTCACCATACTTCCCATGCATTTTCTTTGGGTGTGTAAGACTATACATGAGTGTTTATGCACTTAACATATACTTGTGGACTGCCTCCTAAATAATGGGTGCTGTGTTAAGCGTGCATTTAATACCCAGATGGAAAGTTTGAGGCCCTTGTCCCCAGGGATTCTAAAAAACAGAGACAACTAAGACATCCTTGGTCCATCTCTATGAGAAGGATCTGTGAAGGCTCAGCTGTGATGCACTCTCCCCTTTTTAAAACCTTCAGAGGCTCCCATGTCGACCACCCACTGTTAGGACTCTTTAGCTTAGCACCTGCACAGTCTGATCCAGCTTGAGTCCTTTCCATCACCCTCTCTGTGCCCCACCGTCCAGCCAAAGCTCACCATTCCCCAGGCTCTGTGCTTGTAGCTGTCCCTTAGGTTGGTCTTTGCTGATACTTCTCACTACACTGATTTGTCACTGGAACCCTCCAAGATAGTGCCTGGAATCTAAGTGGAAAAGTTATGTTAGTTGACTAATCAAATGAACAAGTAACAGATCATCACAATGCAAGTGAAATTTCTTAGGGCAGCCGTAACTGCCCTAAGAAAGTTGATTTTTAAAATGTGATGGGTGCAAAGGTCTCTGTGTCACCTCCCTCACCATCTCCCTTTCTCTCAGTCTGCGAACATTGAAGGATTTAGACAATGTTCAGCATCAAGGCCTTTGTCACTGTCTAGACATGTTTGAAATCAATCCCCTTTTCTCTGTCTCCCTTGCACTGTCTTGTCCAAGGTACCATTTCTTGATTCGATTATTTATACCCTAACTTCTTTCTCCACATCACCACTAAAGTGATCCTTTTCTAAAGCATAAATCTGTGCATTTGACTCCTCCGCCTGGGGTCTTTCAATGGCTTCTCACTGCCTTCACAATTTAGTTCCAACTCCTTATCTTGGCCCCCAAGGCCCTCACATCTGACGGACCTCCCCTGCTCCTGCACCCGCTCCAGCACTCACTTACCAAGTGGTGTTGAAATGAGCTGTTTCTTTGCTGTCTCCCTTAAGGCTGTGAACTCCTTAAGTTCAGGGACATTTCCTATTCATTTTTGTATCCTCAATACCTGCCATGAGTGCTCAGCACCTAGAAGATGCTTAGTCAATGCTGGGTCTACATAACTGACTCACCTCGCTGGGGATTGGGGCAGCCGTTATCTGCGGTAGATCTTAAAATATTGGTGGGAGCAGAACAAAGGGTGAAGTTAGGAAGCACATCCCAGGCTGAGAGGGTAAGAAAATGATAATAACTACCAATTGGTGGGCACTTACCATGTGTGGAACATTGAATATGCATTTCCTCATTTGATTTTCATGACAATATTCTGAAGTAGATATGACTATTTTGGCCTGACTGATGAAAAACTGAGGCACTGGAAAGCCAGGCAGGTTTGTTGCCAAGATCCAAGCTTTAATCCTTTCTCTTAATGCCTCCTGCCCCAATGGTATGCGCGAAGCAACCCAATGGTAAATCCAAGGCCTGTGTGGGGGACAGGCAGCAGGTTGGGTGGCTAACAAGTTTGAAGCTGAACCCTGGGAGTGGCTGACCCTCCAGAAGTAGCCCATGAACCTTTGTCTACCTTTCCTCCCGTCTTGGGCGTCAAGAATTCTGCTAAGAACTTTGGATCCTGAAGAACATGGGATTAAGAAGGCAGTGCCCAGTAGGAAGACAGGCTGGGGGGTGTTACGCCAACCCCATCAGCTCTCAAGAAACCTGGCCAGAGTGGGGATGCTTGCGAGTTAGGTGGAGAGGTGGAGGAATGGATTCTTGGTTTGGCTTTTCTACTCCTGGGACCAGATGGGGTAGGGGTGTGTGTGTGTGTGTGTGTGTGTGTGTGTGTGTGTGCTGGTCAGTAATAAGTGGACCAGCTGAGAAGAGGCTGTAGATCTGAGAGTTAATGGTGTGATGGTCAAGGGCACATGTGCTGCCTGGGTTCATGTACTAGCTCTAACATTTTGTGACCTTGGGAAAATTACTCACTAAGCCATCTTCTCACCTGTAAAATGGCTACAATAATAAAACCTACCCTAGAGAATTACAAAGATTAAAAGAGATAATTCATGTAAACATTTAGTATAGTGCTCGGCTCACAGTAAGCATTCAGTAAATGTTGGCTAATAATAAAACTAAGGGAGTATGCATTTGGTCAATGAGATAGTGATGTAAATGATGAGAAGATTCAGTTGGCAAATAAATGTATGACTCAGGTCGGCAAAATCAGGTAGAAGACTTATGGCTAGAGTCCCAAATCCAGAATGATTCCAGTGGCCAAAACCAGAACGTGGGACATTGTCTAGGACAACCTGCTTGATGGGCAGTCCATTGAGAAGGATGGGATACTTTCCAGGCCTAGATGGGTCTGTAGTATGTGTGTGTGTGTGTGTGTGTGTGTGTGTGTGTGTGTCTGAGTCTGAGGACCGACTGAACTTGTGGCAGGTACAAATCTTGCCCCAGGTGCCTCTATTCTCAGACACTTCACTGATGTGGGGTGTGGTTTGGTGGTGGACTTGAACCTGGGAACCTGGGTTCTAAATTCTGACTGTGCACTAGATGTGCTGGGCCCTTGGGCAAATTCCTCAAAGGCTCCCAGTCTGTTTTCACAACTGTAGGATGGGTGGAGTGTACCTGATTTTCAGGGGTTTTATGCCATATTCAGAAGGATCTGGCCCAGTGCCTGTCACATGATAAGCACTAAATACAATGTGTGTTCAGTGATTGGATGAAGCAGATTTTACCCTGAAACCCAGTAGAGTAGGTTGTTTGTGAACATGGGACTGGAAAGCTAAGGAGCAGCTTGTGCCGTAGGGAGGTGACTGGAGGGCTAACGACCTTCGATTCCATGCTTGTCTCTGCCAGCCAGTGGGCAGAGGGGACTGCGGCAGACATGGTGGGTCAGGGAGATTAAGCTGGCAGGAGACAGCTGGGAGCCTGAGACAGGAAGGGATGGCACGTAGACATGCTGCGTGAGATCTGAAGTTCAGCTGGATCAAATACTTGGAGCATTGGGAATAGTAAGGAAATTCCGCTCCGCTTACCAGGTATTTATTGAGTGCCGTCCTTACCAGGATCTCTGCTGGAGATATTAAAACTGAAATCTCTCAATTACTGTGGAATAAAGAATGCCTCCAACTAATCCGAGGCTTTTCTCTTCCTCCTCCCAGTGTTGGATGGTCTTCAGAGAAATTTAAAGGGAAGCCGTGTCATGCGATGACATGTGAGCTTGTCACCAAAGCCTGCAGATTAGCTAGTATGAGTGGCTTGTATTCTTTTTTTCTTCATTCAGCTTTCCTCCAGAGACCTGAGCTCCAGCGGAAGTAGGCCCGTGAGGACCCTTTTCTAGAAAGTTAGTGGGCTGACATCTGGCTGGGCTGAGCTAATCACCCTAGGAAAAATCCCGATGCAGACCCAGGGAGTGGGTGCCCCATCAGAGCCTGGCACCTGGCCCAGGTGTGGAACGATGCGTGTCCAGATTGGCCTCCAGGGTGCGACCCACCTGTGACCCTGTACCGTGCCCTCACATTGCCTGACTTCCTGCCTTCCCTTTCCTTTCTCTGTCCTCCCCTCCTTTGCTCTCTCCCTGTCTTCTCCTCATTTCAGCAGCTGGCCTAGGTTAGTATGGCATCGTGTGAGTAAGAAAGAGTCTGGTCATGTTGTGGGGCACTGGTGAACAGGAAGGTAGCACTGGCAAGAGAGGGAAATAGAAGTGAACACGTTTAGAGATAAAGGGGTTCTTAGAGCTCTTCTGGCCCAGTCCCCTTCCTCAGAAGGTCAAGAAACAAGCCCAGAGGTGAATGAGTTGCTCAAAGACACA